AGCTCAATAATAGTTGTAACAAGTAACAACTGTGCCTAAATTTGTTAAGGTGTATGCTTGTAACAGTGTACCTTCTAGCTCAAAATACAAGAGGGACCTGTGTGAATACATATTTCTATCTGTGTGCAACATCTTAGTTTAGGTGACTGACTACACACACAATCAGCAAGACTACTTCATGCTTAGTAGTAACCTGGTCAAAAATGATAAAACTCGGGGAATCTGTTTGTTTGATATGCTGTAACTTCAGTTATTTTGACAAATATAAATAATCAGAAAACAATTAATAACATAAGGCTTGATAGAATATCCATCCTGTTCCTTTCCAGGTTCTTAACCTGTCCAGACAGAGTGTTACCCGTGGTATACTCGGTGCTTGTTCTGTCCGAGCATATCATGGAGATACTCCTGATGACGAAATGAAAGACATCTTTCAGATACTGCTGCCTCCATGGGAAGAGCGAACTGACGAACTAGTAGATACAAAGCGAGCACGCTTGCTCTATGAGAGCCGCAAGCGGGGAATGCTAGAGAACTGCATCATACTGAGGTAAAAATGACCTTGAATTTGAAGATGGACTTGTTCTGTGACTTATCACCTGCTTTAGCGTATAATTATCTGGTGAAGTCATCATTATATGGTTATATCACATTTTTCCCCCAATTGTTTACAGTGCCATTTAGCTTAATTAGGTATTCAACCCCATCTAGTTCTGACCTGAGAGCACCATTTGGGACCTGTCTTGTAGATGTCAATTTTTTTTTTCCAAGGCTCCTCCTGAGATTTTCTCAGGGACTCTTCAATTTTGGGGGGCTACTTTTTCATTCTCACTAAGTCATTTATTAGGTGTCATAGCAATATCTTTTGTATTTCTTATGACAAATTTAGTGTTTGGACTCTCACAAAAGCAGAATTAGAATTATCCATCAATATCCTCAATAATTGTGAACCCTATGTTAAATTCCCAACTCACGAGCATTAATTTCCTAGTATTTAAGACTATAAGAATAAAAGGAATAGGAACAAGAGTAGACCATTTGGTTCCTCAAGCCTGCTCTGCCATTCAGTAGGATCATAGCTGATCCAACATTCTTCACATCTACTTTCCTGCCCTTTCCCCATAATCCTTGATTCTGCTATTGATCAAGAATCATATCTTTCTTAGCCCTAAATGTACAGAAGGACTCTGCCCCATAGTTCTCTGTGGTAAGCAGTTCCAACGACACTCAACCCTCAGAAGAAATTCTTCATCTTAGTCTTATCCTGGAGCCCCTTTAGTCTGAGACTATGCCTTCTGGTCCTGGACCCTGCCACGAGGGGGAACATTCTCTCAGCATTTATCCTGTCAAGCTTCTTAAGAATTCTATATATTTCAGCGGGATCACATCCGACTCTTCTAAATTCCAATGAGTAGCATCCCAATTTGTTTAACCTTTGCTTGTTACACAATCCCATTAGGTAAACTGACATAAACAAAAAATACTTTTGTTGGCTTAAAAGTAACTGATACACATTCTACATGTGGACAGACATCACCCTAAACGTAACTTCCATAGACTGGCGAGCTCACTGTGAATGCGTTTCCATTACATATGCATAAAACTAGAAAATTTTTAAATCAGACGGTTAAACCATATTTACAGCATCTCAGTTCTCAATCTCAGACATAAATTAAAAATTGACAATGATGATAACAGCAGGATCCACTATTTGCCCCCCCAATTATAGGAGCTCCTTAAATCCCTTACAAGTTAATGGGTAGTTTATTACCTCAGTTATATAACTGTTCTCACATCCAAATTAGCTGAGTTGCTGACCGGTTTAAAACTGTTCTCTCTCCTTTACAGCCTCCTTCTCTATTCACAGTTCTTCAACCTTCACCTCACCCGAATCTCACATCTGTTGCAACCTCCTTTTCCCATAACCACACACACACACACACACACACACACCTGGAGCCTCACCCTCTCGCCATAAACCCTGCTGCAGCCTGCCCTAGCTGTCACCCTCATTTGTAACCCAACAGACCAAACTCCCAAATCTGGAAAAAGGTACCCTATCCCAGCCAAAGGAGGCAATCATCACTTCTCTCCCATCTCAGCCGTTGCATTCCTGGACCATGACCAATCCCCAACCCTTGGACCTCAGCACCTTCCTGGACTCAGGCACCACTTTCACAGCTTAAAGCGAAATAAAACAGAACATGCTGGAAACATTCAGGTCAGGCATTGCAAATCAATAAGCCCTGTTCTGATGAGTCCATTTAAGTAATGTGCTCCATGGTGCAACAGCCATTGAGTTATGCAAGATAACACATTTATGCCTAATTACTTTTTTATTTCAGTTTCTTTGCCAAAAAGTATCTGAACAAAATGACAGAGAACCAGCTGAGCTTGTACGATAAACTGATAAATCAACCAACCAATGACTGGGACATTTACTACTGGATAACCGGTATGTACATATTCAACTATGCTCACTCTTTTCCAACCCCATCCCAAATTTGCAGGTAAACTAATTGTTGTAAGGTAAATAGTTGGCTTCAGAATTTTTTTACGTTTTAAATTACTTCAAAAGTAATTTCCAATCTCTAACAGTTCAATAGATAAATACGGCATGTTGTAGTTTTAATGTGTACAGAACAAAACAAAATATCTCTGCTCTGCACTGTTGGCTGATAACTTGGGCATAAATTAATATGTTAATTAGTCTACTGTCTCAATCCTCAAAGGGAAAAAAGGATACCACTGTTGATAATGTACAGTTAGAAACATGACAAAGTGCCAAGGAGTGGGAACTCCTGGCTAGCACTGAAGCAAATGTTAACAGCCTCAGTTCAAACCAGATGAGATTAGCTAACTCATCATTTGCTGCAAATCAAACTATTTTGTCTGGCTATGACATAAAAATCAGCCATTAAAGATGTTCAAGTTCTTATATTCAAAGAAAACAATGTTTAGTATTGTACCAATTTGTATTTGTAGCTTGTCTTATAACTTTACCCAGCTCCTTGTAACATTAGATGCCCATTGTCTAAGCACACAAATGAAAGATTTTCTCAGATAATGAAGCATTGTTGAAGACCACAGCATCAGAAGCCAAAAGAATGTCTGTCTTCAGGAAAGGGAGAAAATTCACCCTGCACACACGACCCAATTTTATTTCTGTTCAGCATGGGAAATGTGCTGCTTGTAGACTGAAGAGGGCATTGGTTCAATTTAAAGTTTGAAAATCTGAATCTCTAATATGTCTGTTTTTATCTTCTTCATTCAAACAGAAACCAAGCCAACTCCTCCAGAATTTGATAATGAAGTAATGACTTTGCTGAAAGAGTTCACTAAAAATCGCAACATGGAGCAGAGGATAGGGCAGCCTGCTCTTGATTATCTTTTTGAGAAGTAGATTTAAAATTGAATTATTTTGCCCATACGAGGACTGCTGATTCTCCATGGTTTTATTTAATTGATCTATAGTAAAAATAAGCAAAGATTACTATTTTCAAATATTACCTAATTCATGATTAAGTGATTTTTGAGGTGAGTGAATCACTGTATATTTATACAGAGTGCTGGGCTGGTGGGATCTTATCCAGTAAAGTTTCAGCCCTTGAAATATGAGTAGTTCTGTGTTGGAACTGATTGCTTTCTGTCTCAATATCTGTCACCGAACAGGAGCTCTATATAGCTTTATAAATATAAAAATAAAATTAAGCTGATATCTTGAAAATAAATAAGCTTATTTTCTGAAAGATGGTCTGATCGCTATTATCTAAAATTTTCTAGCTCCTTGGTTAGGTGCAGGATATGGATGATGTCGTCCTGATTTACTAAACTACTTGAGATCCACCTGTGGTCTGTTACTGAATCTCAGAAGGGATTAATGTTTGGCATTGGTACAGCACCCCTTACCCACCGTCCAATCACAAATTACTTATAGCGTCATAAATTCCTCCTCCAACTGCACGCTCCAAACCTGTGCCCTCTAGAAGTCAAGGTCAGCAGATATGCGGGAACACCACCACCTGCAGCATGCTTGGAATTATACTGTTCCTCAGTGTTGCTGAGTTAAAAAACTGGAACCTCCTCTCAGTAGCACTGAGGATGTCCCTTCACTCCAACTACTTCAGAGGTTCAGGAAAGTTGCTCACCATCTCCTTTTCAAGGGCTTTTAGGGATGGCCAATAAATTCTGGCTTAGCCAGTGCCACCCACATTCTACAAATGCATTTTAAAAGTTATGGCACAGAAGGAGGACATTTGCCCTTCATATCTCTGCTGGCCAAAAAAAAGCTCTCCATCCAGTTATTTTACCCAATCAACCTGTTCAGAGATTTTATTACACACCACTGGCGCAGGTGGGTCTTGAACCTAGTCCAGGCGTAGGGACATTACCACTGCATTCCATTTTCCAGTCTTTTTTGTAACCTTGTATTAAATGCATATCCACTATTTAGTGTGTGTGAACAAGGGAAACGAGTCCCTTGTTCCTAATCATAACTGAGATCCAGATACTGAAAAGGCTAAAGTTAATCATAGCTGTACTTGAATAGTCAACTAGGTATGTGCCCAGATGTTTATAACAAAGACCTGTTCAGGTATTGAAAGGCCTTTGCCACCATCAGATCTGCATAATTGAAAAATGGCGAGAAAGTGCTTGCCTTTAAGTCAATAATGACCACTAACTCTCTAATTGTGCCTATCTCAACATTTGCTAGAATATAAAAGCAACACTTTAGTACACTTACTTAGTGTGAAATTATCAATAACAGAAATCTATTTGATTTATTATCTCATATTTTTCCCACTACTATGGTAAATAGGGCTTCATCTCATTACAATCCAGATTTGAATATAGGGAATCTAAAATTGGATGTCAACCTGCAGTTCTAATGGGACTTGGCACAAAATCTGTGTATCCACTACTGCATCCCTCCTGTTGGTAAATAGTTGTGAAAAATGCATCTTACCATAGAACAACCAGAAATTTAATCTAGACTTGTGTCCATATTAATGATTTTATTGTGGTACAAATATATATAAAATTGTTACATCTCATGATCCAAGCATCCTTAAGACTTGAAATTTATTCCTCTTCAGGAAATCTCATTTCCCTCCAGGGCTAAATTTAGAATCAACCTTGTGCAAAAAATCATTTCATTGAATTGATACCACAATGATGTCATTCATTGCAGAACGCAAAGCTTGAATAGATAGCGGTTCAACACCCACTCCACACAATAAGCTCAGCTCCTAGTCTGAACAATAGTGATTGCAGAATACTGTCTGGTGTCTCTTAGTCATTGACTACATGGGGCATCTGCATGGCTACAAGCTTCTGAAAAGATAGGCATACAAGGCAGAAACTTACCCAAATTTCCCATCAAAAATAAAAGCTAAATTGTAAAACAAAAGTGTTGATTTGATCCTACTGACAACTGCAAATAACTCCTGATGGTGGAAATGTCTTGGTGACGCAAAGAAAAGATGCATCATTCCAGTCACTTCATGTGTAGAGCCTAGGTAAAATAAAAGTTAAATACAATAATAGTACATAACACTCCCAATACCAAAATGAGAGACTCCTGCCTCATTCAAAACACTGAACAATACTTCCTACTAGTTTAAAAATGAAGTTAAAACAGACAATTAAGAGTTGATCTGGCAAAAGCCATTCAATAAACTTATGCTGAATTCAACTTGACAACCTAGCAATGAAAGGATACAATTTATCCATAGGGATGGGGAACTGGAGGGTTAAGTGAAGGAAAGAGAGAACAGGTGGTGAAGGTGTATGGGAGGAAAGGAGGAGGGTGAAGGGAAGAGAAGAGAGGCAAGAGGGGAAGAAAGCATGTGAAGGATGTTTAGGGGATAGGAAAGGAGTTTAAGGGAGGGGTTAGGGGAGGAGAGGGGACCAGAGGGAGGGGAATATCAGGGGTGAAGATGGGGGTGGAGGGGGAGAGCAGGAGGAGATGAGGGGGAATGAGAGAGGGGAGGAAATGAGATTGGGAAAATGAAGGGGGGAGGGAGAGGGGGGCGGGCTTTGGGAGGGGGGAATAGAGAGAGAGAGTGAGGGATGGGGGACAGGCCGATGGGTTAAAAAAAAAGGAGTGGGGGGGAGGTGGAGGGGCGAGGGGGAGGGGGGGGGGGGGTAGGGGAGGTTGGAGAGAGGAGGGAAGGGGTGGGGGTGTGGAGTGCAAATGAAGGTGCTGGAAAGTAGGGTGGTAGACAATGAAAGGAATTGTGAAATGCAAATTCTATGGACAAAATACCTACTGAGGCTGGGCTGAGTTAGAAATTTTGTTTTAAATCAAGTCATCTTGAAGCCAACTCTGAAGGGTTTTTTTTGACCATTGAGGATGTTTTCCTCTGCATCTAACCACTTCTATTTGCAACATGGCATTACTGTATCTAACCATTCTCTATGCAATTGGATTGTGTGTATAGCAGCATAGAGGATATTTGTTTAATAGCTAACATTTGCTGTACTTGAAACATAATAATTAAAATGGAAGCTTGATGTTCACAATCCTCACCTAAGGCATATTAAAATGATTGCAGGATATTTAACTACATTTACAGTTTTCACCAGGAATCTATCACTCAAAGGACCCTTACTGAAATCGGTAGGGTTACTTTCACTGCATCAAAATATCCTCTCCAAATGGTGTATCCATAAGGAGGGGTGGGGTAAGTGATGACTAAAAGTTACCAGTGCTCTCAGTATCATTGGTTGTTGATTAAATTACCTGGTAAGAGCTGAAACAGCAATTATGGCCAAAATCCCCTCTAATCCGTAGGTTACCAGGAGGGCTGCATTTATTATTACATCTGCTTTCAGCACATAGGTCTGCCACAACAAGTAGTACAGAGAAAGCATCACACTTCCAATGGTCAGGACCAAGCTAGTAACAATCGGAACCTCCTCTTCAGTCAGGTTACCTTTAAAACCTGGGGAAAGAACAGAGAATCAAACGAGCTTTAACACTAAACAAAAAAAAACAAAGAACTGCAGACACTGGAAATCTGAAACAAAAACAAATTGCTAGAAAAACTCAGCAGGTCTGGCAGCAATTGTGGAGAAGGAAACAGAGTTAATATTTGGGTCCAGTACCCCTTCTTCAGAACAGCTTTAACACCTCAATTCTGGGGACCTTTCAAGGTCACACACAAAAAACCTTCATCAGAAACAATACCTGAAGCCATGTGGCCGAATAGTCTTGGGTTCGAATTATGCCCATGCTAACCTAGCTCATTTCATATTTGGAGCATGATTTATCTCAGCATTGATGAACTAGGGTAGGGACAAGTTCCTGATCCTAGATCCTAATGGAATAGGTACATTTGTAAATATTGGATTGATACCATTTTCAAAAGTCAATCATGGTATGATTAATCAGCCTGTTTAACAGATATTATTATATATTTTATTATATATTTTCAAAAAAAGTCTATGCAAGTGCTTCGCAGCTTATCACACTATTTCTAACCTACAGTTGTACTGTACTGGCAAAGCTTTACAGCATCTATGTATAATAGTTTCTATCTAATCAACATGTAAACAACCCACGTACTTATATTTGTGCTGTTTAAAATCACGGTCTGAAATTAGGAAGATGGTTTTGAAAATCAGGGATTTATGAGATGGCTACATGTCTTGAAAGCAAATAATTTAATACCTATTTTGAACTCAGTTCGCATAATAGCGGGTTCCAGCAATGAGCAGATGAACTGGAGTCCAGGGTTGTTTACAAGTAAAGCTACTAACTGCTGTGGGCTAGTGGACACTTTTGATGATAAAGGTACTCTGCCTGTCAATAATCATGTGATTGATCATCGAATAGCTGAACAACTTGGGCTGTGAATAAGACAGAGAGAATCTGGTCAGGCCAGAAGGGAATCCAGCAGGTCTGCATCAGCCAAAATCTCTCTCAGTTCTCTGCAATAAGTCACATTAAATCTGAAGGAAACAAGCTCATCTTTCCGTCAGCAGTTGCTGCAAGTCACAACTTTGAATTAGCTGAGTCAGAGACCTTTTACAAGAGAACCAGACTCCCTGTGCCTCTTGCAACTAGTGGAAGCAATCAAAAAAAGGTTGAGGAGAAACATTCAGATCTGCAAAAACCAACCCAACAGATTTTGCATACACAGACTACAGAACTGTTTTTCTACTTATCCCTTGGCTCATGTCTTTCATCCCCAGTTTAAGGGGTTAGAAGAGTTTTAATTTGTAGAGTTTACTTAATTTAATTGCTTACCTGTAGCTAGATTCTAATAAAGTGATTATTTTTTTTAAGTACAGAAACCTAGTCTGTGTTTTCTATCGATCGGTCTCAAAATCAGGAAGTTTGGAGATTTTGCAGATTTAACTTTTGTGATCACTCTGGGATGGCAGGAATTGATTTCCAGTGCACTACCCCAGAGAGGTGTGACAGACAGAAGAGTCATTTCAGTTTGTTTGACACTTTGACTGTTGGAATTCTAAGTCTACTATTTTCATGATCTTTATTTAATCCCTTTTATTGCTTGGCAAGAGTTATGGAATTATGTGATTTTGCAGGTCAGGACTAATCTATGGTTTCTTAAAATTGTACATCTTCCTTGTTTATTGCATCATGATCGAATAGAAAACGTTGTATGCTTCTATGATCCTATATGAAATGGAAACCCAGAAGGACTAATATGCAGCTAATTTTCCAGCCAAGCTCAGCTACTGATCAATCTATCTCAGTCTTAAATATACACAGGACTCTGCCTCCACACCTGCCTGTGGCAAGGAGTTCCAAAGACTCTCAACCCTCTGAGAGAAGAAATTACTCCTTATTACAGTTTTAAATTGGCACCTCTTCAGTCTGAGACAATGCCCTCTGGTCCTAGTCCATCCGATAAAGGGAAGCATCCTCTCAGCATTTATCCTGTCAAGCCCCTTAAGAATCCTATATGTTATAATAAGATCATCTCTTATTCTTCTGAACTCCAACTTACTTAGCCTTTGCTAATAAGACAATCCCTCCATATCAAGGGTCATCTTAGTGATCCCTCTTTGAACTACCTCCAATGAAATGATAAATTTTCTTTACATAAGGGGACCAAAACTGCTGAAAGTACTCCAGATGTTAGGTTCCAAGTACTGGTAAAAATGCACCCTAAAGGTTTCCTCCTTAAATTCTGCTCATGTATTAAAATATTTGGCACAGACGAGAAGCATAGTGGCTGATCTTGAATTTCAATTGGGCAAAGTGTAGCGCTTTTCATGACTCTTCCTAACAGACAGTTCAATCATTTGTGATCATGATTATTCATGCTAAACTTCCAGTTCAATTTCAGACTTATTCTTGCCTAATTATCAATTTGTCTTGATCATTTATTTCTTTACTGACTGTGCTAAATATGGCTTCAACAAAGATAATTTTGTTCTAGGTAGGCTTTCCTGTACGAAGGTGGGCTATGTAAACAAATAAATAGAACATTCACCAATCTGTGATCCACTGGCAACTGATGTTTCTTCCAAATTGTATGTCATAAGATTCAAAAGCAAATTTAATTTGCATTCTTCACTGTACTATACCATTGAAAGCAGAATGACATGGTGGAACTCTGTGTTTTACCCTATTCCTTCTCATGAATTGTGCAAACTTTTCTGAACTGAGACCTGCTGTTGAACACTTTCCTCTGGGAACCAGAAGCAGCACAGAAATCATGCAGAAATCTGGATGTTGTTCATCTAATCAGAAACCAATCAACCCATTTTTGAATGAATATTTATTATAATGAATCTGCAGCCTTCAAATTCTGTGAAATCAATGTGCAGTCTCTGCCATACTCTCGCTAGCCATTTTCATGGTTTCAAAGGTACCATACACAGCCTCCTCTCTACTGCTCTGTAAGGAATATGTTTTATTTATTTATTTTTCCTTGTACTATGAATTTATAAATGATTATGTGGCTGAGTTAGTGAGCAAAGCATTAACTTATCATTTTTGTTCTAATGGGAAATTACTGCTTGTATTGATTAGGTGTTAAATTAAAGATATCAATTGATAGTAAATTGTATGAAACTAGATATTTATAAAAGACAAAAAGGTAAGAAGTTAGGATGATTCAGAATGATCAATCAAAATTAGAAGTGAGTCTGTCTCTGGGATATACAGCTTAAAACAACAGACAAGAAAAGGTAAAAATATGAAAGAACTGCAGATGCTGTAAATCAGAAACAAAAACACAAAATTGCTGGAAAGGCTCAGCAAGTCTAGCAGCGTCTGGGAGAAATAAGAGTTCACGTTTTGGGTCCAGTGACCCTTCCTCAGTTCTAGACCCAAATCATTAACTCTGATTTCTCTTCACAGATGCTGCCAGATCAGACAAGAAAAAGTGACTAGAGATAGTAGGAACTGCCAATGCTAGAGAATCTGAGATAACAAGAGGTGTAGAGCTGGATGAACACAGCAGGTCAAGCAGCATCAGAGGAGCGGGAAAGCTGACGTTTCAGATCTAGACCCTTCTTCAGAAATGGAGGAGGGGGAAGGGGATTCTGAAATAAATAGGGAGAAAGGGGGAGGCGGATAGAAGATGGATAAAGGAGAAGATAGGTGGAGAGGAGACAGACAGGTCAAGGAGGTGGGGTTGGAGCCAGTAAAGGTGAGTTAGGGAGGGGATAGGTTGGTCCAGGGTCAAGGAGGCGGGATGAGGCAAGTCGGTAGGAGATGGGGGTGGGGCTTGAGGTGGGAGGAGTGGATAGGTGGGAGGACAGGTTAGGGAGGTGGGTACGAGCTGGGCTGGTTTTGGGATGCGGTCGGGGGTGGGGAGATTTTGAAGCTTGTGAAGTCCACATTGATACAATTGGGCTGCAGGGTTCCCAAGCGAAATATGAGATGCTGTTCCTGCAACCTTCGGGTGGCATCGTTGTGGCACTGCAGGAGGCCCAGGATGGACATGTCGTTCAAGGAGTGGGAGGAGGAGTTGAAATGGTTCGCGACTGGGAGGTGCAGTTGTTTGTTGCGAACCAATCATAGGTGTTCCACAAAGCGGTCCCCAAGCCTCCATTTGGTTTCCCCGATGTAGAGGAGGCCACAACAGGAACAGCGGATACAGTATACCACATTAGCAGATGTGCAGGTGAACATCTGTTTGATGTGGACGGTCTTCTTAGGGCCTGGGATGGGGGTGAGGTGTAGGGGCAGGTATAGCACTTCCTGCGGTTGCAGGGAAAAGTGCTGGGTGTGGCGGGGCTGGTGGGGAGTGTGGAGCGGACAAGGGAGTCACGGAGACCCGAAACGTCAGCTTTCCTGCTCCTCTGATGCTGTTTGGCCTGCTGTGTTCATCCAGCTGTACACCTTGTTATCTAAGAAAAAGTGACTAGGTGGTTTCTATATTTTTGATTATATTTCCTAAACTGATTATAACTATGCTATCAATCGTGTTACAAAGAACAATTTAGATTCCAAATTATCTACATGTCCTAGACTTTGTTAATTGCAGTTTCAGGATAATGGATGGTATTTAGGATTTCTCCAACCATGTTTGGTAAAAGCAATTGACTTCCATTGTTCATAACACCATCAATATGATCATTCACTGTGCGTCAACAGTCTATTGAAGTAACAATTGTTTGTGATTGGAAATCGAAACACTGTCAATTATGGGATTTTTTTTCTTCTTAACTGTGTTCACTATTTTTCCAGCTGATAATGGACTCAATGTTTGACAATATAATGACTCAGAAACCATACTACACGATGCACAAGCATGGACCTCCATACTTACCTAGAGCTCCATACAAAACTATTTAGATCATTATGCCCTGTAAATTTTTATTGGATATCCTGCACTTATTGTGTAGATCTTAAGCAACCCAAGTACCTGCTGTTGAGCAACTATATATAGTGAATATAGTTTCTGTTAATCTTCTTGTGACATGCCTTTGTGAGATAACCCTTCGTGGAGTTGTGGAA